AGACTAGTGGGGTATCTTATAATATAATACCCCATTGAAGTACAGTAGTTTCCATATCTTCCCATTTTAAGCGTTGCTATTTTCAGTATATGTGTATATGGATGATAGAACTTGTGCAGCCACCGCACACTGAAGCTTGCCATTCATCCGCAGCCATAGCCCTTATAAGCAGAGAACATCTGGGAGTTTCCCAAAATAAGGGGTCCTTCTTTGGGGGGTCCGGATCATAATGACTATAGTCCTATAGTATTTTGGGGTCTATACTGGTGTCCCCTATTTACGGAAAGCATCATCTTGCATCAAGGCTCTGACGTTAAGATCTTGTCTGTCTTTGATGAGAGAATCAGTGCAATACCCCTACACTGACCCAACACCTTTCCTTACAGGTTCTTAATAGGGAATAAGGGAAAACAATCCCCATATAATCCCTATATCATGTATTCCCCTATATTCCGCATTCATCCCCCAATATATACCCTGTCATAATGTTGTAGCTTCCGTTTTCTTATACATTTGCCCTATAAAAGCCCAATGTTAGAAGCCACACCTTTTGGAGAGGGGTTTAGGATTTAGGGCTTCCGGGGCTTAGTAATTCAGGAGTTCAGGATTTAGGGTTTAAACCCTAAACCCTAAACCCTAAATTCTGAGTTTAGAGCATCTCAGGGACAAGGAGCAAGGCTTAGCGCCTTGAGCAATGGGATGCCGGCGCCTGTGGAGAATTTGGATGAGCTCCACAGCCTGAAGGCAAGGGAGCTATAAACCCTAAACCCTAAACTATGAAACCTAAACCTTACTATAAACGCTAAACCCAACGCCCTGAATTTTAAAAGTTTGGCGAAAACAAGTTAAAAACAATAAGCCCCAAGCCCTAAACCCTAAACCTAACATGACAACAATTCCTCACAGATGTGGCAGGTGGATGGCTTCTACCCTGACACTCGGAAGGACGAAGTCTGGGACTTCTTCCGGAAGTTCCCGGCTCAGATGCATGTGGGTTAGCTTCCTTGGAAACCCTAAACCCTATGGGGCTTAGGGTTCAGGGTATAAGCCCCTAAACCCAGGAAAATGAGCCTGGGAAGATGCTTTTGAGGTGTGGGAGAATTGGGGATGTGTATCTTCCACGAGACCATTCCACTCAGAAGAACAGAGGCTTTGCCTTTGTTCGCTTCTACGATGCTTGGCCTTCTAACTTTTCAAGCTGCACCTGCATGTACTGTATTTCTATGCCCGGAAAGACTCAGTTTTGACACGCTCAGGATCGGCGCGATGCCGAGATGTGTGTGCAGGCCATGTCAGACTCGACTGTGCGGAGTCTGCCGGTACCCGTAGTGACTTGGTAGTTTCCCGAAAAAGGGGGAACCCAATTTAGACCCCAAAATATTATAGATGGATGGGGACCTCAAGAAGGTACCCCTAATTTTGGGAAACCCTAAACCCTAAATAGTAGCTTCCGTTTTTTTCCATTGTCCCTATGTAACCCCAGAAATGCTCATTTCGGAAACCCATTTTGCCAGGATATGGACGGGCAGATGTTTCAAGGGTCCAAGCTTCGGGTGAACTTTGCGCAGGCGCCACAGCATTGTAACATGCAGGAGCATCGCCCCTTCCCATATATAATCTATATGATATATATATATATATATGCGTATAGATTTTGCAGTTTCCATTTTCTTTTCCATTTGAAAAGGAAATGGAAACTACTACATGTGAACAGTAAACTGCCCCCCTTTATAAGCCCTGTATAACCCCTACAAAGTCCCTATGTAAACCCTACGTATATGAAGCCTGTATAACCCATATAAAGCCCTAAATAACCCCCAAACCCTAAACCCCAAACCGCGTATGAAACCCCGGCTTGGGTGTTTCCCAAGCATTGACATGGCAGGTTGCTCGCGACAATGCCCCACCTCCAAAGCGCGGGCAGAACGATGGTGTCACGGCCTTGGGCTTTAGGGTTTAGGGGTTTAGGATTTAGGGCCTAGGGTTTAGCATTCAGGGTTTAGGGCTGAGGATTTAGGGCTTACGGTTTGGGATTTAGGGCTTACGGGTCTTGGATTTAGGGTTTAGGATTTAGGGTGTGCGAAGGGGATTTAGGGTGTGCGAAGGGGCAATCTGCCTGCAAACATGCTCACCTTGCTTTCTGATGAGTGGTTCTGCATTTGGATCAACAAAGAGTATTTGAGGTAGGAAGGTGAGCTCAGAGTGATTGTGAATGGAGGAAATCTTGCACAACCCAGTATAATAGCCTAAACCCCAATGATTACAGTAGTTTGGGGATCGTAAGTGGTGCAAGATTTCCTCCAGATTGAGTTCTAGCAGGTAGCAAGTTCCCAGTCAGCCGGTGCCAAGGGTTGTTTGTAGCCATCGCTTGTAGCTTCAGGCCCGGCGAGCCAGCGGCCAAGTCGGTTTGCAGCGCTTTGGAACTTCTTGTTTGCCGAGTATTCTCTGTCTTCTCGCAACCATCGACATATTCAAGATCATCATTAGAATGAGAACCGCCGCCGCCACCGCCACCGCCACCACCACCGCCACCATGATGATGATGATGATGATGATGATCATCATCATCATCATCATCGTCATCATGTTCATCACCATCACGAGAATCCAGACCAACACGGAGGGCGATATCAGTGTTGCAAATGTTGCTGAAGTTGACGCCATTAAGATGCAGCGGTTGGCAGCATTCTGTGATACTAGTAGCAGAATTGCTAACAGTACCAGTACCAGCACCTGTAATAATAGTTGCAATAGCAATAGTCATTGTAATATTAATAGTAATAGTAGTAGAAACAGTACTGTAGCCTCAAACGAGGCTCTTTTGTCAGTTTTGGTGGCATGAGGCTCGCTCCCGCTCAAGGACCAACTCCAGTAGGTTGGAAAGTGGGAGTCCGCAGAGGCCCAGCAGAAAGCGATTTTTGAAGAACCTTGTCTAGACTCTAGTTCTGTTTGACTGGTTCTTAGCGGGAATAAGGGTATGGAATTTATCCTTATACAATCCCTATAAAACATGTTCCCATTCCTTCCTTACTGAGAACCAGTAAGCTGATTGTTCCCGTTGTCAGGGGCAAACGGCGCCGCCAGCGAAGCGAGAGACGAAGCCGGAACTTTAGCACAAGATGCATCATTATACATGGTAGTTTCCCAAAATAGGGGGACCCCAACATAGACCCAACATATTGCAATCCTTATTATTAAAGGGACCCTTCAAAAGGTACCCCCAACTTTGGGAAACCTGAAGCCCTATATATCCCTATACACTCCCTACATATCCCTATCTATCCCCGTATAACCTCTTTAAATGGTACCCCTCATTCTGGGAAGCCTCCACATCCATGCAAGTCTGCGTTCTCCATGGACAGGCCGAAGCAGACGGAAGGTCCGGAGCGCAAGCTCCAGCAGGCTGTGACGGTTTCAATTGTGCCAAGCATTGATATAGCGATTACATAGTGAGGATGTAGGGAATATATTAACGTTCAGGGTTTAGAGGAATCTAGAGGGATTACACAGAGAGTATATGGGGATTATATGGGGTCTCATGTAGGGATTCTATTCCCTTATTCACCTAGCCCTAAACTTACCCTAAACCCTAAACCCTAAACCCAAAACCTAGCATGAACCGACTGGGAGGAGCCAGAGCAGAACGAAGGGGAGGTCGAAGAGAGGCCAGCGAAGTGAACAGAGTTCGCACTAAGCATGTGCTGGGTTTCCCCAAATTAGGGGTACCTTTAAGGGGGTTTAGGGATTAGGGCTTATAGGAGTTTCCCAGAATTGGGCGCAGTATTTGACGTGAGCAGCTCGGTGTGCAAAGTTTCGCGCCAGGAAGATGATCTGCTACACGTCTTCTCCTCAGGGAGCCATTGGCGTAGAAGCTTGTTGAAACGCTGGGCCTGAGGCTCCCCTCGTAATCAGACATGCTTTGGGAGGGTTGGGATCTACATCTTACGCTAAGGGAAAAAATTAGTCAAGGACTTCATATATAGGTGTCATATAGGAATAATGGAAAATAAAATGGAAACTACTATAGTAGCATGGCGAATATCTAAAGTGGGACCGCCATGAGACAGAAGCTCCCGGCTCCTAACCCCAAACAAATGGGGGTTTGGGGGTCCCCATAAAAAGGACTATAGTATTTTGAGGTCTATATTGGGGTCTCCCCTCTTTAGGGAATCTACCAAATCTTGTCCCACTTTGACTTGACTTTGTTGAAGCTTGGATAGGCTACAGCTGTAGCTGTCAATCGCCGCAGCCTGGTTTGATTTCCCAAGCAATTTGTGAGAGACTGTATATAAATTGTTTCTTGCCGGCAGTGAAATGAAGCTGATCTTCTCGATGCTCTTCTGGGGGTCGCCCCTGATTGCATGCATAAAGGTGACAGATGGCACGCAGTCCCTGATGTCCGTCGCGCAAGGCGAGGCCTCTACGGATCTCCCAGCTTGTGAAGGCATCAAGTTGGCCGCAGTCATTGACGGAGACCATGCCCAGTGCGACTCCCTCAGTGGCCCGACGTCTGAGGAAGCAGAGATGAGGTGCAGGAACAGCTATGACACGGATCCCTACGGCATCAGGCACTTTCAATGTGCTGCAACTGGGTTCTTGTCGAACAACATTTTGCATTTTGATGTATATCTGGGCTCGATATAGATTAAGAATGATCATGTTTTATAGTTGCTCACCAAGAACCCAGGTAAGGGAGCAGTCGACGGATCTCGGGAAGTTCAACTGCCTCTCTGCCACGATGTGCCAGGAACCCAGGGATCCCTTTGATCAACTCGGCCCCTTCCCCAAGGCCTGCTGGGGAAACTAGAGCTATAGTCTAAACTCCGTAAAGGGGGATGGTTTAGGGTTTAGGGTCTGAACTCCTTGAAGGGCCTTATATAGAGGATTATGTAGGGGACTACTATAGGGGTTGTCAAGGGGGTACTAGAAGTGGTGGTTTGTACAGGGACTAGTGCTGCCGTGGCCTTGCTTAAGGATCTGGAAGTATAATTTGCCCAAGGATGTGAAGCCAGTGATCAGCACGATCACCTGGCGCGAGACCTCTGACTCGCACAATGAACGCGACTTCGGCAACCCCCAGGTGAAAACGCTTCAACAAACAGGGCTTTCCTTTTTAGGATCCCTATGACAAGGAGCTTGGTACCCTTAACCCTGCACCCTAAATCCTACACCCTAAGCCTTAAACGGTTTTCCCATGGCTTTGCTGCGTCACCGAAAGGGTCCGCTTTAGGTGGGCTGGTTGAACCGGTGTTCTGGTGATGAGAAATTGTCGTTTTTCTCACGTTGCTCCTGCATACTGTTTGCTTTCCGGGACGTTAGCGGGTCGGAAAAAGGAGCCGCAAAAAAAAACAACCCTAAACTTACAACCCGAAACCTAAACCCTAAACCTTATAACCCCTAAACCCTTAACCCTAAAATCAGGTGGCCCGGCTTACCAACTCAAAGTTCCTCACCTGCCTGCCCCATGAAGCCGAATAATGGCAAGTGCTACTGGGTTGCTGTTAAGGAACTGAGATTAAGTGACTAAAATGGGCTCAGGGGTTAGGGTCATAGGGGGACATTATCGCCTTATAATGGAGAATCACAAGGAAAAGAACATGACTGCAATGGACACTGGGGCAATCAAGGGTTTAAGCAATTTAGATTCAGTTGCTTTAATGAGTGTATATAGGGTATATAGGTATAGGGTTGAGGAGTATTATGATAAGGAGACCCTACTTTGTACGATATACCCATATCATGGTAACTTAGTTTAGGTTCCTTAGCAGCAATCCAGGCTATGTCATGGAAATGGTCGGTAGCAACTTGCAGCAAGGCGACCGCGGCCGCACGCTTTAGAGTTTAGGGTGTTGGGCACAACTTGCAGCAAAATCGAGGGGTTGAACATGGGTTGAACCGAAGCCCTAAGCCTCAAAACCATACTTTTCTTTTCTTTTCCAGTATCCCCACATATAGCCATTTTGAGGGTCTTTGGTGTTGAGGGCTTAGGGTATAGGGCCTCTGCGAACTTGCAAGCAAGGTGATGGGGCGGATCATGGTCTGCGTGGGCTTGCTGCAAGAGGGAAGGGGGCTCTCCTGAGCCTTGCAGAGGACAAGGTTATATAGGGGTTATATAGGGATGGTGTATAGGATTTATAGGGAAAATGGAAAATAACATGGAAACTATTATACTGGGTTATAGGGCTCATATAGGGGTCTCTCCTAAGCCTTGCGGAGGACAAGGTTCTTGCTTCTTCCGAAAGCCAATGCGTCATCCTCACAGTCAAGGGCAAAGAAGTCACGGCAGGGCCTGTGATGAAGATCCCTTGGGAGGAGTTCGAGCATCTCATTGGTCCGTACCTGATTAACCAGGTGCGTATTTCGGAAAGCAGGGTCTTGGCCGTGGTCTATTTCCGCAATTCGGAGACCAGAAAGTACTCAGCGACCGGAGTCGCAGTGAAAACCTTGAAGGATGATGGCACAGTGGCCGTCGGCAAAATGGTGATGGTGGCAACTGACATGGGCCTCAATACCGGTCGTCCTGATGTCGAGGTCCTTAGCCCAGGAACGGTGGTTCTATGCTACAACGGCAACCCGGACGACAAGAAGGCATCTTGTAAAGTCCTCTCCGTGATGCAAGACTCGATTCTTGTTGGACAGACTTTGACGGTGCCACTTAAGGCGGAACATGACAAAGAGAGTGGATGCTGCTTTGTAACAAAGGTCGTGCGAATGAACTCCCGAGAAGCGCTCTTCTGCTGGGAGCAACATCCATGGACGTGCTGGCTACTGAAAGTATCTGGCCCCATGCTCTCCACGCTTGAAATTGTCCACGAACTGAGCATTCCATTGCCCTCCAACTACCAGGCCAGGGGACAGGCGGTTCAATTGTGGACCAATCGTGCAGTGCTTTGCTGGGTGAATTCGGCCACCCGAAAGCCAGGCTGCTTCGAAGTCATCTGCGAGGACTCCAAGTGCTCGGTCAGCAACCCCACCTACTCGATACTTCCGTTGTATGACACTGATATCACCGACAAAGTAGGGGCTGCCACCTTGATGCCAGGCAAGGTTGCGGTCTGCGCCGCAGATCTTGAGGGCAATTGGGGAAGGCACGATCCCACGTGTGAGGTCTATGCAGTTCCAGAGCAGCTTGCCAGCTGAGCTTCTTGCCAGCTGAGCTTGCGCATCTTGGGGCTCTGCATCGTGCTTTGGAATTACCCTCCTAGAGCCCATTTCGATGGGCTATGGAAGGTGATAAAGCAGTTGCAGGCAGAGCTCCCTTTTTTGGCCCTGCAGCGTGTAGATCGGTTTCAACCACACACAGAGAAAGATTTTTTTTTTTGCGCCGGCGACAAAAACCTCAGTCTTTTCGTTGTGTGTTTGTGGTCTTGGGCCTAATGCAGCGTAGTTGTCTTCCAGTTTGAGTGCAAGCAGGTCTCTGTGTGAACAGTCTTTGTCTGAATGTTCGTTCTAAACGAATTCTTCAATCCTCGCTGGACTTGCGACTTCACGGCCTATAGGTCCAAAGTCTTGAGGAAAGTATTCCGATAGCTCTGGCCTCCCGCAAAGCCTTCAATCCAAACACCTCAACTCCAGAACTTCTGATCTAAGGTGGTGGCCACTGTTGGCTGCGGCAACAGCTTGTCCTGTAGTCGATTGTGGCTCAACCCGCACTTGGGAGTCTCCAAAGGCTTGGAAGGACTGCGACGATGAGGTGCAGGACTTTCAGGATTCAAAGGCTGAGAGGCTGGGGGCAGGAGAGGGAGGAGGGAGAGAGAGTGAGAGAGAGACCCTTCGTCCTTTAAGTATGGTGTGCTTTGGAAAGTGGCAAGTCGTGGTGACATCTACCATGCACAAATTTCACAGTGGCTGAACACCCTCAAGAATCCTCAATATTAAGTATGTGTGTTTGTTGTCCTAGCCACATGTGAAACAACAAGGGGTGGCTTTCATCAACCAAACAGCCCAACAAGGGCTGGCAAAGACGCCCGGGGAAACCACCTGGTCTCCCCATAGCCCGAATGGAAACCAAGAATCGATAGAAATACCCTTCGATGAAGAAGAAGGTTTCGGGAGAGAGAGAGAGAGAGCGAGTGGTCAGTGCCGCTTGAGGCAATGCCTCGGCCGGAGTCCCTGTGGCTCCCCTATAGCCCTGAAAGAAATGAAGAGGCACAGACCCCGGGGGGGGGCAACTTGCCTCCTTCAACAGCCGAAAAGAAAAGTCACGCTCCGCTGCAGATACTGAATGTCAACCGGATGCCCGGGAAACTGAACTGCATCCACCTCAAAGCGTACATCTTGTAGATGAAGGACAATGTTCCTGATGCCTTCCCAGCACGACGATGTCTAGCAGTGATACGAGGAAGTGGAGTCATACCAGATGTACTACATCCCAGGTGGCTCCGGACAAGCTTATTGACTCCAAGAGCTGGGTGAGCCTCCAGACTCTTGGTGGCAAGTGGAGCCTGCGTCGTAAGGGTTCCGGAGGCCCCAGGTTTTTGTTTTTGTGTGTTTGGGGGGTGCTGGTGCTTAAGGGCCTTTGGGGTGCCGATTTTTTCAGGCGCGACATGTGTGGCATATGGGTTTCAACAGGACATGCAGTGCATTCACAGTGGCTGAGATGTTTTCGTGGACGGTAGCAAGGCCAACTAGCATCATGGTCAACTCATCTGGTTCTCTCCGAGACCCGATATATTCTATAGGGTTATATGAGGGGTATATTGGGGGTTATATGGGGCTGATGGAAAAGAAAATGGAAAGTACTATATTATATAGGGTTACGCTATTTGAAGTTCCTGGGAAACCGCCTGATGTGGCTTTCGTAATGCGTGAAGGTTCGTTCAGTCCGCAT